TAAATTTAAGCAGAGCAAAGGTAACGAAGACGTCATATATCCGCAGAAGAACTGTGCAGCTGAAGGACATAAAGGGTTAGACGTTCTGTTGCTTCTGAATGTATTTCACTTATATAACTGCCCCCACCCGAAAAAAAAGAAAATCTTTCTGGCCCACCCTATTACGGAGAGCTGGAGCCTGGTCTGAAACCATACATAAAATATATTTTAACTTGGGGGAAAAGAGGTGTCTTACGACCATAAATAAACAATCACAACTCGAAAACACTAACATACAGTTAGGCTTAGTGTGAATTTGTTTTTCTTTCTTTACTTACCAAAGGTAAGTTCAAATATCCTTCGGGCTAGATTGGAGTAGACATTAAAATGACACAGAAAACTTCAGTCTAATCCTAGCATTCGTTCGTATAGTTTCTGTTTCTTGCTCCACCCCGCTCTGCTCTACTAGTTCGGACTTTGGCCGTACTGGTAAGATATCCTGGCGCACTAGTACGCAACTAGGTCATACTAATACTGCAAAAATGCTTACTAGTCAGGCGTTTGTTAAGCAACTTGTTAATGTGTCTGCCTGAAATTTGCTGCACTAGTTAACTAGTAAGGCTTAAAACGCTTAATTACTAGTAGCACTAGTAAAGGCCAAAATCTCCACTAGTAAAGGTCAAAATGTCCACTAATTGCACTAGTGAGGGTGTTTTGACCTCACTAGTGTGACTAGTAAGGAGCAATTATCCACTAGTCACACTAGTGAGAGTTTATTTGCCCTTACAAGTTACACTAGTGAAGGACAAAATGAACACTAGATAACTAGTTGAAGTGTCTTTTGCCCTACTAGTCACATTAGTGAGGCTAAAAGTGTTTACTAGTAGTACTAGTCAGAGCCAAAATGCTCACTAGTAGTACTAGTTGCACAAAATTCTAATCAGGAGGCGGGAAAGGGCAAACATTGAAGCTTCCTATTGGTTCTCCAGCAAAAGCTGCACCCAGTCAGAATTAATATAACCCTATACAGCCTCGTGAGCTTTTACTGTCAATAGCTGCCTGCCCCTATAGCTTACAATCCATGCAGAATAAAGCATGAAAATGAACCTAAAAGGTATTAAATCATTTTAGCACGTAGGCTAAAACAAAACTGCTCCATTGCATGTATGAGACACCAAACTGAACAAAAACATGTACCTATACTAAACCATAGATGTAGATGTTAATAGAATCTGGACATGGAATTAGATCTTAATCAGAAATAAGAGCAATAATGATTGAATGGACAACAGCTCTGGAGAAAATTAAGAAACCACTTTAATTATATTTTAAATCAGCCTCTCTATGTATGATATTCCAGGGTCTATGGGGGAAATATTGTCAGAAGTTCATGTAATAAATCAAACGTTCATGTTGTTCAAATATATACTTGTAAAAAGTAACACCAGAAAAACGGATCATTTTTTTGCAGAGCTGTAAATATTTGGGAATTATAGGAAAATATTGGGAAAGTAAGTGAAGAGGTTGATGCGTAGAGTGATTTCCGAAGTCCCGTTTTCTCATTTGAGAAAAGAATGGACGCTATATATATGCGCTGATCAATCAATAAGCAATCAATAATATTCAGGTCGTCTTCAACGTATTTTCTCGCAAGAAAAATTAAATGCCCACTAATTAAAACGCCAACAGAAAAACAGGAGAAACAAATCTTTTAATTCAAGCTTCAGGATACAGCAAACACAAGTAAAATTTGTATTTCCAACGAAGTGAACAGTCTTCTCCCTAAATGGCCAGTAAGACCTGAAATAATATTTGGAGGAAACTTGCAAACGATCAGCTGAGTTGAATCGGACCTCGATAATCCACTTTTTAGCACTTCCAAGTTGAAGCTGTGTAGTGAAATACAGGAAACAGATTTCTATGTGGACATGAAATGTATTACTGAAGGCGATTCTCGCTTTATATTGTCACTGTTACAGTGACTGTACTGTATTGTATTTAAACGACCAGCTTTATGTGGTTGCTAATATAACTAAAGCAAAGTTACTGAACTCATATAGATCCGCGCTGCAAACAACATATACAAAAACAAATAGGGCACTTAACCATTAGAATATCGGCGAACATGACAACTACAGTCAGAAACACTGCACTTTCTCTCACTCCGCTCCAGTTTGCGGAGGGACGTCAAGCTCATTCATGGTAGAAACGGGATCAGTGGTCTAAACTCAGTGAGGGCGCAGTAAAACGGGCACATAAAACAAAATGTGCCCACATTTAAATGGAAATGGAAACAATGGAAATGTGTGTCACTAGATAACGTGTAAGGCCAAAAAGAGCCCTACTAGTGGAACTATAGTGGACAATTTGGCTCTTACTAGTGCAACTCTCACTAGTGTCATTAGTGAAGAATTATACAGTGGTACCCAGCAAACAAACTGGCACTGGGCCAATGTGGGCCCAATGTGGGCAGAAAT